AGCGGCTGTGTGTGGGTGTAGAGGAAGGCCAGGCAGCTGAACACGGTGCTGTTCTCCTCCAGGTCCTCCTTCAGGGGGAGACATGACAGCACGGCGGGGAGCACCTGAGACAGCAGACAGGGGACAGAGAAGAGGGACAGGTTCTTGATCATCGGAAATGCACATCTGAGAAAAGAGCTGCAAAATATTACCTCCACAAGCAGAGACACTTCACAGCGACAAGCAACAGTTTCATCATTCTTGACACTCCTGACAGAGGGCAGAGTTAAGCAGTCCATGTATGTAGTAGAAACCATTTTCTCTTGTATGTAATAATATTCCTTACGCTTATACATCACATTTTCTGGACACTCCACTCAAAGCTCTTTGCAGATACTGGGGATCCCCTCTTCCACCACCAGTGTGATGATGCACCAGTCTGCTCACACACACCAGCTCTCAGTGGGGAGGAGAGCAGAGTGATGAAGCCAGTTCAGAGAGGGGGGTTATCAGGAGGCCATGACTGGTAAAGGCCAGGAGGAAATTTGGGCAGCATGCTGGGGTAACACCCCTACTCTCTTCGAGACACACCCTGGGGTTTTTACTGACCACAGAGAGTCAGGACCTCAGGGTTTACGTCTCATCACATTGCTGGGAGATGAATCCACAATGTGTCCGGAAGTGGAGGACGAGGATGGGATTTAGCATGAACGTGCTTCAGCCCCGGAGGGGGAGAGAGGCAGATCACATGCGCACTCACCTGCTCCAGCGGGACGCACTCGGTGTTGGCCAGGATCATGCGGCTCAGCGCGGCACACAGGTTGTCGATCACCCTGCGGTCAGACTCCCGGGACAGCAGGGAGGAGAACAGCGCCAGCATGGCGGGGTAGTCTCTGAGACAGGGAGTCAAGGCAACGACGGAGACGGGAGAGGAGGGGGGCAAAGGGCACCGCAGATTCCGCAAAAACATCCCGCTCCTTCCAGACGGCATCCTGCAGGCCTGCGCTAATGTGTGCTCAGCGTGCAGACAGCAGGCAGGATACTGTGAGAGGGCAGGCCCGCAGGCCTGAGCTAGCGCCCCCACCCTGAGCACAGTGGAACTGCACCTCTCCCACTCACACTCCCTACAGCTCAGTGTGCAGACAGCAGGCAGGA